TTAGCTTTAAGTTTCTTAAACTAATTTGTGAAGCAATTTGAAAGATAAAATAGTACAAATTGTTGGAGTAAATTCTTTGAATTCGACTCTAGGGTCCAAGTTATCAACAATGAATTCTTGCAGCGACTCGTTTTAAGAGATTTAGTCGTCAAACGTGTTCAATTTCTGTTTTATCACAAACCGAATTTTAAGATCAAAATTTTAAAATTTCACTTATGTTTTTTCTTTCTTTATTCCTGTGTTACACCGAGTGACTGCGCAAAAGATCTTTTTTTCACCTAACATAAGGATTAAATAAACTACAAGATCTATATATTTTAAAACCAAATGCCTGCTCTAAAGAATAACAAGTGATTTATAAGCTTTATTGGACAATTTCAAAATTTGTTTTAAAAAGAAAAGAAAAACAATTTATATAAACCAGCAAAATGACGAGGGAATCAATAAAACTTGTAAGGTTCACGCTAAGGTTTCGTAAAATCAACGTGCTTTCTGTACAAATAAGCAAATATATTTTTCTATAGTTCCTTAAATGTCCATGAAACTCATCATCGACATGCGAAAGCGTTCAACAAGAAAACACGACAACTGTTCTGATTTGGTAAACTTTCCATTTCTCTTATTCTGTTTCATTTACATTCTGATTCAAACGTTCGCCCGGAATTTTCAATTTTTAACCGACAACATTTAAAATCGTGACGAGCCAATAAGAATGTAATTTTCTTGTTCTTGTGAGAAATTCTGATCTTTCATGACGACGAATCTTCGCCAATAGACCTTTTTATTCTTGAGTTATACCGTATCATGAATCAAGCTCGAGTCACCTTAAGTTTTTCATCTCTTTGTAAAATAGCAAGTTGGTTACCTTTTATTTCAGTTGAAACGGTTTATTTCGTCTGTTTCGATTTCAACACAGACAAGAATTCCCGAATTCTAAATTGTTTCCGGCTAAAGAAACATCTCATTCTCAAGGTGAGAACTAGGAGTTCTTGTATCCCTGGTACATCATTTTAAACTCATAACAAAAAAAAAGGAAACAAAGAAAACAAAGAGAGCTAGTGCGAAAAAAGAGAAAAATTTAAATTGACTCGAACTTGAATCGCGGCTCAAACTTTACTCTTCATACGGTATAACTACTGTTTACTGTGTGGCTCGTATCTTTTCGTTGATTTTCGTCCAATCTTTTTTTCCACGATTTGCGAAACAGTTCCCTATCTCTATTTTTTTCCTATAAGACCCTTCCTTGAATTATGAGAATCTATATTTCTTCGTCGTGGAAAGGAATCATTTTAGACTGGTTTATATAGCGGTATATTTCCACTTAATTAGTTTGTCCAGAGAGCTTGTGACCAGGCATTAGAGTTTTAAAACATAAATTACTTCCAAACGGAAACAGTTAATGGCACAAGGTAACAAAATAACGGATATAAGATGGCACTGTACTAGAGTCTTACTTCGTTTATGAAAACAAATACTTCCTTTTTTTTAAAATAAAGTTTCTAGATTTCCCATTGATATAGCTCATACTGAGAATGAACTTTCGATTGAATAAATGTCTCTAACCGGCGTTTTCTCTTGGTATCATTCGGTTGTCATTCATCAAGTACGATCGTCTAGGTGAGAGTAGTTCCGAAAAAGTTTGTTGTCAAAACTAGAGACTGGCCTGAGCAGAAGTCATCAGAGTCGACTGAACAATTTTTTGTAAGTCGAACGTTACAATTTGGTTTGTTAAGGTGATTGGTCAGTTTTGCAGTGAAGTGGCTGCCAGACTCAAAGGGCGTTCGTCCGTTGGTTTGTCAGTTTTAATCAGCCGGTAGGGTTAGTTTGTTCTATTTGGTCCGTTGGCGACTGCGCTGGTTTTTTTTAAGTCGTTTGTAACGTGCTAATGTTTGCTGCCCTCTGTTGTGAGAAGTCTTCTCTAAATTAGCAAACCAGTTTCTTAAAAGTCAGTCTTTGGTGATAGTGTAAGTCAATGGTGGTCAGCAACGTGATTTTTGACGTAAATAAGTGACGAAAAATCAAACTGAACTCATCAAAAGATTTCAGTTTTGAATTCCATTTGGTCTTTGTCCGGCCGAGGTATTTTATGGAGTGCCACCTTATATCGCCTTTGTGCGACATCAACTAGGATATAGCTATGATACTAATTGTTAAACAAACCCCCAAAAATGAGCGATCAGAGCTTCGAAATGAATAATTTGAGTGACAGTATTCCGTAGCTAGGATTATATCCGTTTCCAATTGTTTGGGTCTTAAATTTGATGCAACCAGACAATATGAGAAAAATTACACCAAATTATAACTGATACTGAGCTTAAATAAATCAATAAATGATCGCTCAGGGTCTGTATAACAATCCGTAACACAACAAACTATTCCAAAAATGGTGGCTAATTAAGGACTATTCACTAACCATGCAATTAAGACTTCAAAGACTTCGTACAATAATTAGACTTATAAAGGGCCACCATTTTTGCCAGTATTACTAAATAATTGAAAGTTCTTATCTTTGCAGTATCCACTAAAAATGTCTTTGATGCCAGTGTCTACTCTTGACCAAAATCTTTGTTCCTCCATCCATCTGACATGCAACATTGCCGTTTTCCTGCAATTAGAAAATGTGAATATGATCAGGGAAGCTTACTTTCCATGAGGACGAAAAATGAAAATAAAAAAATTACGAATAGTTGTTTTGCTCTTTAACACAAATGATATATATATAAATGGAAAGCATCAAAACTTTTTAATAGAAGAGTAATCACACCTCCACATGACTGTATTGGAATACAAAATGACGTTTCAAATAAATTAAGAAAGCAAAACATTTGTATTTTAGCGTTTCACTGAAAACGTTTTACAATTATTGCACAACTCTGCTTTTCCCGAAGGCAACACCCTAATTCCTTCGAATTTCGAGTCGAAGAGCCGCTCAGACCGAGCAACTGATTCGTACTACGTGGATGAACTGAGATAATACGACTTGTTTGGATCGCTGAAGGAACCTAAGGCGTTATTTTCCAAAGGCAACACTTACCTGCTGTTTTAGTGCCATAAGAATGCTTTCGTTACTCTCCTTTAGCAGTTCAGTGTCCTCTTCCTTCCAGAGCGCAATGTTATGTTTAGCACAACCGGGACAACACGTCTTCACTCTACGATGAACCGCGTGGTTTGCTGAAAATTCTACAAGTTCTGATGAATATGGATTAACAACTGCAGCCAATAATCAGCTGCTACGTCACGGATTTGGCACGGGATGTGTTTACACGCTCAGCCACGTAATCAAAAATCAGCATTGTGAGTGACGGATTGGCATGTGGGAAGACGAGGGAACAACTCATAGCTACTAAATTTTTAGAAATTACTATCTAACCAGAAAATTGCTCCGGCACTCGAAAATAGCTAATTTGAAAGGCTGATATCATTAAAAGTTGTAGATATCTGTAAGAAATAAAGAAATTCTTCAGGCCTCATTTTGAGATTGTGTCAATAAATTAAGAATTGTTCATTGTTCTCTTACGAGGGGAGCGTAACAAGATGATGATGACGCACTAAGTGAGCAAGTGACCAGCCGGACGGCGCATCGAGCTACAATAATCCAATCCAAATTTGAAAGGTTGTGGGGGAAGATGTTAATTCGTGTTGCTTCGAGCGTGGGACAAAAAAAAACAAAACAAAACAGAACAATTCCGAGTCCTCATAAGGAATCGAACGTCAAACCTCTGGGTTTCGCGCTCCAACTGAGCCACAGAGTCCTCGCGATAATCAAACCAATGCTATCACGAGTTTCATTAGTGGACAGCACGTGTGAAAAGAATAGGACAGAGACAAGACGACAAAACGATCTTTCTCTATCGCTTTACCGAGCTCAAAATTTACTATCTTTTTCGGTATTTAAAAGGTAGTTCGAAGTTCTTAGTCAACCTTAGAAAGAATATGCTGCCCTAACCCATGGCCAGTTTTAAAAAAATCCATTCACTCAGTTACCTTGTCTAATACCCCATTCACACCAGCAAAACATGTTTTGTTAAACTGGTTTTCATTGAATGAAAATTATAAACAGAGAACTGAAAAACTTGATTTTCCATTGGATTCAAGTACTTGCTAACTTGTATTTCCAATGTGCTACATTCAAGTCAAAAATATTCGGTTAAATAGTTTCTATGAAGAAAAAAAAAATTAAACTGTGTTTAACAAAACAACTTTTAAACATGTTTAAGCTTTGGTGTGAATGGGGCATAAGACGTTGAATTGTGGCGCATTAGCTCGTGGAACAGGCGCATTTTTTTTGTTTTTCATGCAAGCAGGGAAAAGCGCGAGGCGCGCGTGAAGGAGTTGTGAGAGGTGAGACTTGCATCAGTGGAGGAGCACTAAAAAAATACCCTTCACTTGCGGCTGTATTTCTCCGTGCGCTTGCATCCGCTCGCCTAAAAAGATAAGAAATAAAATTGATGCCTGTTTCACAGGATATTGAGACTTGCTACTTAACAAATTAAGTACCTTCAACCGTGCTCTGTTCTGTTGCAAACTGACGTAGGGAGCAGTTAGAGCACGAAAGAAATGTCGGGGAAAATAGTCTACGTGTACCCGCACCCTCCCCCCCGCCAAGGTGAAACGAAGAAGGGGATCCCTCGCTTTCGCTGCACCTGGGGGGGGGGGAGGGTACGGCCCCACGTAGTCTAAGGGGAAACGAGAGATAGGTTCAAGGAGCCTTTGATTTTTCTTTTGTACGACTCTCACCCTACTTAACAAGGTATGAATTTACCCATCTCTTGGAGGAGTCTCAAAGTTGTCTTGCATAAAGTGCACGATTGTAAATATAACATAAATTCGTGGTGAGCCCGTAATCAAGGTGCATTACCAGGGTCAAAATTAAAATGTAAACTCTCTCAGGGTTGAATTTCTAAACGAGTCTTTTGGTATGCTGGTGTTTTCTCAGTGAATTTCAGATATAATTACTGTTTCTTTGCGAACAAAGTTTCTTTCAAATCAACAGTTTAGTTGACAGTTTCAATGAACTTTATTGAACTGGACAGAAGTGATCCCTGTCATATTCAACGCCAGTACATTGACTACAGTGTTGTACAGTATTCTACCAATTTTACAACGACTAAAGCAAAGTAACCTTTTGACAACACTAGTGATCGTTATTTAGATCCACCCCACAAATATATACCTTATACAAGATGCACATTTTGTCCAGAGTGCTCTACGAATATAATCGTTGGTTACAAGGGTTGCAATGAAAAGGTTTAAAGTTATATCAATGGCCGTTTATTGTTTCAGTTTACGTATGTGTTTCTCTACAATTACCCCGCGTGGAAACTAATTTACTGACAGAACAGAACGACAAACAGTCATAATAATAATCAAGTATAAGAGTAAAAAACGTTGATTGGGGATGGATTATTGTAAAATGTGATTGAAATAGTGGAGAAGGGGGAGGGGACTGGGGCAAAAGCTGAAAAAAATGATTATAACAGACGGAAACAAATGATTCTTCCACCTCCTAAACTCCCCAACCCCCCTTACTTTATAATGGTCCTTCCCTTCAGCGGATTAAGAGCAGTTTCAAATGTTTGCCTGGACAGTGTCCTCTTTAGCTGTTTTCACTAAAAGGACACAAAGTTTTGTCTAATAAGGACTACGTCCAAAATAGTTGCCTTCAATTCTTGCAAACCATTTCACAACTGGGAGAATAAACTATTCGCTTTTACTTGGGGTAGAAGAACAAAGAACGCGTCATTACAATGGAATATGCTGCACGTAAAATTAACCACCTTGGAGAAACCTTGAAACGTGCAAACGTGTGATGTGTGATTAGCTTACTTGCATGTATCTTAACTCGGTAGTCTGGAAATGTGGAAATATGCAAACGAGTCTTTACCTTGCTCACATGTTCTCGTAACTTGGTAGTCTGGAAATGTGAAAACGTGGGAATAAAAAGCACAGTACATTCCATTGTGATGACGTGTTCAGTACTTCTCTACCCCAAGTAAAAGCCAAACTATTTTTAGATAAAGATCAAAAGAAAACAACGCTCTTTAGGGGGGTGGTGGGGGTGGATTTCCTACTAGCAGACAAGGAAACTTATACCCTATTCACACCAAAGCTGAACCATGTTTTAAAGCTGTTTTCTCAAACACGATTGGAAATTGTCTTCTTTACAGAAGCTGCTTAAACCGATGTTTTTCGACTTCAAATTTAGCATACTGAAAATAAAAGGTAGTGACTACTTGAACCCCATGGAAATTCAGTGTTTCACTTCCCTGTCGGTTTCTGATTTCATTCAGTTAAACTCGGTTTGACTAATCATGATTTGCTAGTATGAATGGAGTGTAAGTCCAGGTCCGTCACAAAAATTATGAATGAACGTCAACGTAACTCAATTACAGCTGCCTAAAATAGCACTTTACATTTCATGTAATACCTCACTGTAATACGGTACCTCCACCTGACTACATAGAAACTTCTTCCCTGCACATAAGACCCAGGGCAATAAATAAGTATACTTTATACAATAAAAAGTTGGAATAGGAAGCGTACAAAATTTCTTTCTTGTAAAGCAAACTTTTTGTGGCTTGCGAAAGTATGCAGACTGAACTCCTCCTAAAAAAGTCTCCAAGGCTGTTCGCCTACGATGTTCTGACGAGCTCTTTTATTCGATAAAAGGAAGTGTTCAGCCAACATCATCCTAAGCCACAGAAGATAACACCAATAAATTAAATAGTTATCACAGAGCTCAAATGTATAAGAAAATTTTGACAGTGATAACACTGAAATATATACAGTCGTTCATTGTTTAAATACTCAGATCAATTAACATATCCATCATAAATAAATACCTCTCTTTTGAATTAAAATGACGAAGATTTGAATTTGAATCCTTGGTCACAAACCAATTATGTGTTATTCTGTTATTTAAGGCTTAGAACACAGATTTTTAATAAGTGTAAGTCTACACTATCCAGCCTTTAATTAGTTTTGCTATCAGATTCCCGTTAAGATATTTCTTTGCGCACTACTTCTTGCCTATTAACGCCCACAATTTAGCATCCCACAAAGCATTTTCCAATGCATTAAAAAACCTACAAATTTCAAGACTTTTAAAGGAGCTTTAGCAATCCACACGACTACAAAGTTTAGTTCTGCATGAAAAAAAGTACCAAGAAACTTCCGATAAATAAGTGTAGGTGACGGTATTCTTGATGATATCAATATTTCGATTTCATTTTATGCTCATAACAATAAATTTTCGGAATCGAAACTATAATTTTGCTTTCTAAGGATTCATGATTAATCTTCATAGAGCAACACTCTTGCTGGTTACATTTCAAACAAGGATGAAAAAACAGTCGGGTCCACGTTTTTCAAGCAATATGTTGCGTTTCACAAAATTTTTTTTTCCTGTTCAAACAGGTCTTTTGTCTCTGTTTTTGTTTGTTTGTTTGTTTGTTTTTTTCAATTTCAGCCCTAACAGACATTTTCTTTCACTCTATAAATAACCGTGCTACAGAGGCGTTTCCTGGCAACTTGAACTTGCATCGAGTTGATTCGCCCCTTATGTGCAGTTGTCGCAATGGCTCCCTTTGACGTTTTTGAAAAGTTGTCAAACCAAAGACGAAAAACAAACAAACACACACAAGAAAAATCGAAGAAAATAAAATAATTGCCCAGCACAACTTATACTGGTACTAACTTTTCTCTTCAAAATCTACACATTTTACTTCATCACATAACCTACTGAGATCATTCGTGACCAACGTCGACCCTTGCGTGACAAGTGAAGAGACCGTTAGAGTAACGCTTTCCTCGCCGGAATATTTCGTTTTGACGGGAAAGAATTTCTTCACAAAGGAAACAACGGATGAAGAGGACATTTGGTTACGGAGAAAAAGGAGTAATTTTAACATCAATGAGAAGTGTTTCCCTCTTTATTCTCTTGCGCTGCACCTTCCTCCACCTGTTTAGTATCATCCTTACCGCCCTCTTCCTCGTTTGCTTCCTCTTTCTTGTCACTCTGATTCTCTTGTGTCTCTGCATCCTTCTCCACCTCACTGCCATTCGTTTGCTTTTTCTCACTTTCCTCTTCTTTTCCGCCAGCTTCGCTGCCCTTTTCTTCCTTTCCTTCTTGGTCCTCCTTACCTGAATCATCTGAAGGCGGATTCATGGATTCTAGAGCAGTTCTGTTGTGTTGAGCCATCCTCGACCATTTTGCCAGGTTTGCTCTTTATAAACAAAAAAAAGAAAAAACGAAAAATTAGCAGAGAAAAACGTATTCAGACCGACTGGATTACAGTTACGAAACCCCTCATTAAAATCAGATACTACCTCGTATTTTTGCGTTAATTTATGCGACGAACTACGGGAAAAGGCGAAAAAGTTCCGAGTTGGACTTCGTGAGAACTTAAGGCTCACGTAATTTCTGATCAGAACATATATATGGTAGTGAAACTTCAAAACGGCAACTTTCTTAATGAGAAAATCAATCATTCAGTAACGTCTTTTCAGCTAACTGCACCAGCACTATCCCTTAAAGTCACGTGTTGCAGGACATTGCATCAGAAAAAAGTAGTAAAAAAAAAGAAAAAATAACCTGGAGAACAAATTCTGATAATCAATTTAGACAGCGCACTACTTACTGAGATCCTTCCACAAGTGGTTTTGTGTCAGGAATGCACTTCTGTAAGAGCTCATAACAAGGTAAACAGATTCCAACCAGGAAACCAACCTGACGACAAATGTAAAATTTGTTCTCAAGAATTTTCAAAGCTGGTCTGCGTAAAAATTAGAACAGTTTTCAACTGAGTGTCGAAAGACAAAACCAAAGTTATCCTAACGACCAATTAGAACAAAGATTACATCATCGTTAGCCAATGAGAACTCAAGGTGAAAACAAGTAAATTACTTGATGCGCGGGAAAACGCAAATGACCAAGTCGCGATTGTATTAAGCTTTGCATCTGATTGGTTGAGAAAGTGGCGCGAGTTTTCCAGACCAATCAAAGAGCAAAGTTAAGTAAAACCAATGCAATCGCGGATTACTTTCGACACCCAATTGAAAATTGCTGTAAATGCTTTGTAAGTAGTTATAAAAACACAATATTACCTTTGAATAAATGGCTTGAAAAATATGAAATTTTTTTTTATGATTCTATTGAGCAGGTAGCACAAACATGTCTGCTCTCTAATTTTCATCGCTATAATTCAGTAGAGCTTCTCACCTGATGCGCTGGCAATTCGTGCGCTGTGTTACGGTCCTTCATTGCAATGGGTGTTTTTCCCTGCGCCTTTTCAAGATCACCCTGACAACATTAAAAAGAACAATAAAAGTCAAATCTCCGCTGAGCTATGGAAAGTCAGACATAACAGATTCAAAGCAAAAGCAAGAAAAGCAAGAAAGAGCACCAGAGGTTGTGCGAGGATGTTGTTTAACACTGAACGAGAAATGAAAATGTTATGGTTTTTATAAGCTCTTTCAATCCAACTTGACCAGGAGTATAACGTTCGCTCTAACGATGGGCTAACGCTCGAACCGTCAGTTTTAAAAAGTCTTTAAGGTGGCCAACTTACATTATCAACTCAGTTGATCACACCAAATTATCTTGTAAACCCCACTAACACGTGGCACCACAGTTTCTTAAGGAACTTAACCCCTTTATTCAGGATTACACTATGCCGACCACGTAGGTCATCAGTTGATCAAAGAGCCTACTTCATTACCAAGTGCAAAGTACTTGCTACAAAACGCACCTCAGCGTAAAACTCTTGATAAATGACCCTCACAATCTCCAACTGAATTTCCCACGGCTTTGTGCAGGCAGATAAATCACAAGCTGTCATACAAATAGCACGTAACAGCTTCCTGGAAGGGACAAAAGTCTTCAAGTCAGTTGCTGATGCACCGTCATTTAGGAAACGACAATCAGTTGCGTTTCTGTGTTTTCCAGCCATTCGAACGCATGATGGTTACCATATGCTTTCACTTCTATGAAACGGAAGTTGTGTCGACTAGATATTTAAATAAAGTTATAAGCATTTAAGAGACAAGAGTTGACCATGCACAGTTCCTTGAATTAGTTCAAAACCGATGGACAGATTGTAAACAGGTCTGTAATGAATTTAACCGCTCTTTGGGACATGGAAAGCAACACCCTTTCATAAGCAAGAGTAAAGTGTTCTCATTAACTCTACCAATTTTAAATCAAAATCGTTTTTCGTCTCTCTGTCGGTGTTTTTTTATTAGATGATTTAGCGAGAAAAATCTTGGAAGAAGACAACGTCGGCTCCCACCCTACCCTGAAAAGGGAGAAGGTTTAAGCTCGTTCTCGAAAAACAACTCGAAGTGACTGCTCAACGATCAAAATGAAAGGCCAGAAGAAAGGATTTTAATTATAATGATGGGCTTTAGCAGTGAACATTCCACAAGGTGGCTTTTCTTGTTTATTATTTCCAAGTCAAATTAGAATTAGAATTTGGAAAGATGGATTTTGTGGAAGGAGGAAAACCGGCGAACCCAGAAGAAAACCGTAGGGACGAGAACTAGCAACAAACTCAACCCATATGTAACAACAGGTGCGGGAATGAAACCCAAGCCACAGCGGTGGGAGTAAAACAAACGCTCTCACCACTGACTGCATCATTCCCTGTTCCCCCAAGGATTTTGACTCTTTTAACAGTCTAGTTCTGACTCGCAGTCCTCCATTCAGTATCGTATGTTACCTGTGATCTTGGTTGTCCCATGTGAACTGTCCTTTTTCCACCAACTCCTTCAGTTTAGACTTGTTACCGAAAAACAGCGCCAGATCTGTGGCAAGGATACACTCCTTCATATAACCAAGCACTGTTTTGTACTCTGCCGGACTTAGGTGAGAGAAGATGTTGTGGCCTTCATGCTGTTGACAGGAAAGTAACATTTGGCTTGTTTAGTTGGAACTGTGGAAAAGTAATTTCAATTTTAATATCACTCAAAAATCGGTCGGGTCACTCGCAGAATGCACTTGCTCGGATTCGTCCCTGTTGTCAAAAAGATATCCCCTCCCTCTAACATTCTTTTAAAACTTTTTATTCGTTCCTCTTTTGACTGAACACTCGCAAGGGTAATCGTACCTGAAGGATGGTAATGGTTTGGTTGAAGTGATGATGTTCCATAGTTGACGTGCTATACACAGCAGCCAGGGGAGTCTGTTCATTCTTCATCCACGAGTTGGTGCGACCACGGTGATCCAAGTCATGGCACAATGACGCAAAAAACATGGCCAGGGCCTGCAGGCAGTCAAAGAATAGGGTACGAATTAACTGAAATCACATTCTCCATTTCTCTTTAACCAATAAATTGAAATATTGTTCCAAATAAGCTGAGTTCAGCGTGGCTTTCGGTGTCTCCTTGTATCTAGGGCACAGCTGTATATTTTTTGTCTCTACAAAAAGAAAATAAAACTGGCAGACCCCCCCCCCCGTCACTCTATGGGGTCAAAGGTTTAAGTTTTTTGGTAAGCAAAGAAGACAAAAACGCTCCGTACCTCAAGTGCAGTGAATTTTTCGTTCCCAGATCGAATGACGAGATACATGGAATGTGCGACAGCGAAGGCATGGGTCCAGTTGTGGTATGGAACATCTCGATAATTCTTCTTCACGGTAAGCACAAACCGCCAGAGTTCGTCAACTCCAAATCTATAACATAAGACAGTCAATAGATTAATCCAAACCTAACCTAACGCTCCTAATCTATTCTGATGTTATTACGGTGAAAGGACAAAAAAACATTTAGAGCATAAAAGTATGTCTCCTGTTGGAAAGCCCCCTAAGGAGTGCTATAGAGACGATGTGTGTTGGCAGGAGTTGAAAACAATTTGAACTTTGGGATTTTAACATGTGACTTTCATCACACCACTACAATGCCCAACCAACTGAACTAAGCAGTAAGAGGCAAATCGGTCAATTCTGACATTTTATTTATCCAAAATAAATGAAGAGTAGCAAGGTATATGTGAACAATAATTCAAATTTAGAAATTTACATAGTGGTAATTATAGATTGCAAAGGGTAGTAACATAAAAAAGAGATATGTGAGATACATTTTCTGCAAAATAACTAGAAAAAAAGGATTAAAAATAATGTAAATATAGCAGTATGATCCATGGGAACTAAGTTTCACACCCGTAGAAAAGCATGGTGTATTGATATAAAGTTATACCATAAAGTAGAACCTACATAAAGGGGACGTAATTGAGACAAAGGTAAGTGTCTAGTGATAAGAGGTATCCCCTCCGTGCTAATAGAACGCTATTCGATTACGAGTCGGTAAACCCAAAACATTCTCCCTTTGATCCCTTGGCTACGAAAATGTCTAGTAAAAAAAAAAAATTGAACTGAAGTAAATAAATCCTAACCTTTGAAGTGAGAAGAGATTCTTTGTCATTTGAATGACTAGACTTGGCATGAAGTCTATTCCTTCATTTATCAGTGAGTATGAATCAAATTTATACCTGTCAATTACAAAAAAACAAGAAGCACGACTTACTGATGTATTGTTCATTGTACAGAAGGGGCTTAACGCTAACACTTGAATCGTTCTTATGTATTAAAATTCCAATAAAAAAATGGTCCGCGATCACCGAAGCTCTCAATGCTGCCTATACACTAGTACGGGGGGGAGGGGGGGAAAGGGGAAGAGAGGGTAGGGTGGGCTTCTCGTGAAGTCCATGGAAAGTCGACTTAGACTTCTCACTTCTCGTAGACCTCTCCTAAGCTCGCCCGCTCGACTCTCGCAAACTGTCAATTTTCAACCATTACCGTTTGACCCCTACGAATGACTAGAATCTAATTTTCTTTACAACGTCACCGCCAAATGACACATTAAGGTCACGAGAATAAAGGAAACAATCACCAACTAAAGACGCTCTTGATCGTTGAACAAATTCTCCTTATCAGAACCTTAGGGAATGTACAGAGAACACTAAGGAGAAGATGCATACTGATATTAAAGTGTAAAGGGTAGTATAGAAGGTATCACTTGTACGTACGATTCCAAAGATGGAAAAGGTTCTTGAACTGGCATCTCTTGGGTGGATGTTAGCTCCCGCTCAGAACACTTGCTGTGATATGATAGCACTTCCAATGCGACCTAAAATAAATAAAATAGGCCACAATTAACACCCTGTTACCGAAGATGAAAATGAAATGGACACTGACACGAATCCTCAAGGTTCGATATATTTGGCACCCCGCCAGAAAAAAAAATGGAACGAGTACATTTGGTGACAGATTGTCATGTCAACTCGCCGACACAAGTTGTCAATTTACTGTCACCCATGGTCAACCCGTCGACATACCGGTCACTTCGCCGTCATCCTGACTGATATTCAGTCAGAGTTAAGTCAATAACTTTCTTTCTCACTGCTAAACTTCCAGTGTAAAATGAATAAGATAAGCAAGCAAAGTCTGATTTGACTTGTACTGTTTTTTTTTAAATATAATAAGGTTCGGATATAGCGCGCGCTGAAAGAGCGGTAGAAAGAGCGTGCTCTATCAGAGTATAGAGCATACTGACGATACCGTTGTTCGCCTGGAAATAAAGTTTCTTTGAAAAATTGAAAGTAATGCGAGGGGAATTTAAAGGACGTTTTATAATAAAGCAAATACAGACGCCTTGACTGTGCTCTGTTCTGTTGTAAATCACTTAGGTATCGGTTAGAGCACTCAATAAGTGGGAAGAAAGACTCGATTACGTCTCGTGTTTCTCACTTGTTTCGTGCTTTACAACAGAACAGAGCAAAGTCAAGGCTTCTCAATTTGTTGATAAGATTGTCTTTTCTCTCTTTTCAAAAGTTCCCACAGGAAAAGTCCTTAAATTATGAGGTGGGATTTTTAAAAAACAGCTATTCAAAAACACGAGTCGTCGCTCGAAAATATTTCCCCCGGGAAGTTTATTAGTGTAACAAATGTTGCTGAGCGTCTCTTTAACAGTATATAACAGATGACATCTAAAGGTGGTAAGAACTGAAAAGTGGCACACTTGGCGCTGCCGAGTGTGCCACTGATGTTCCTATCACATTCTGACTTCTTCTGGGATCTATTATAACTGAACCAACGCATAAAAAGCGAAAAGTCGTTAATGGTGACGTCATATGTGCATCTGTCCTCCAACAGATCATAAGTAAGAACCAAGCAAAAGCTTGAATATTACAAAAGAGCTTGATAGTTTACCCTGTGTTTCTGCTCCGACCTCCTTATCTTGTCATATAGCTGCAAAGAAACAGTTTCGTTTTGTTACTTTCTTCCCTGCATCCAGAAAGTCCTTTGTGTGAAATAAGAGACTTTGGTCCACAGCCAAACTTTAAATATTTTGGTATTTTAAAATTCTTAACCCCTCATAGTTAATTTGTAATTGTCACTTCCAGTTGCCAAACAGTTCTTTCAAAATTAGCACTAAGAATATGGTGTTTATTGCGATTACATCATCAAGCTGATAACTTCATGTAATCTCAATACATCTCTGCTGAATAATGTATCAGCAATTTAAGGAGAAGATCATTATTAATCACTTTTGCAAGTTAAAGGGCATCCCACGGTGGTCACAACTGAAATTACTATTAATAACCATTGCTAACATTGGCAGATATTTATAAGACTATAGACGCAGCACCTCACCAAACCTTTGAGATTACTTGTTTTTTTTTTAATTAAACATTTCCCTCCAAGCTGAAGAAATACCTGGCTACATGAAATTATACAAGACTGCTGAACAAAGGATGCTTCTTTAGGTAATGAAGTGAAGTTACTGTGCAGTTTCTATTCATGTTAACTAACCTTTGCATGGTGGAGAGCCAAGCCACAGTAAATTGCAAATGTCTGGAAAGACTTTTCATCTAGATATGAAATAATTGAACAAGTTTGCTGATACATGAATGAATACTCGGTCATCAAACTTAAAAGAAAATCAACAGTATTTCAGGCAGGATTTATATAGTTAAATCTAAAAGTACAAAAAATAAGATAAATTGTATGTCTCATTATCATAATTTACAAAAAAATTTTGGACAGGAAGGTGTAACATACTCATGTTTGGTGGAAGAGAGTCACAATTTCCATGCTCAAAGCTTTCATTTAATTTCAACTATCTATTCCTTTAAGTCTTTTGTCTTGTGTTTAAAACAAGTTACCTGAAGCTGTAAATACTCCACTCTTTTTGTTCACCATCTGAACAACACCAATAATACTGAAAATTTAATAAAATTTCAAACAATTTTTTAATACATTAGGAAAACTACTGTAACTTCAATAAGCACTAGAGTGTCAGTTTATTAGATTTATTGGAACCTGTTCTTTATTTTAATAGGTAGCATTTACGCATTTTCCAACTCTCTAGGTTTGGTTGGTGTAGATGGAAAGAAAAAGGCCACTCCCTGAAAATTTAAGACATGAGAGTTGGAGAGTAAAGATATAATATATTTTGCTCCATCTACTACCTGCAAGATTGATCACAAAACACCCCAGGACATTTCATGAGTAATCTGGACAGGACTGTGAAAACTAATGGCCTCAAGTGCTGCTCTTTCACAAAATGTGGGTGCCACAGGGAGCTAACTTTGGAAAACTTAATATATAACTCAGCTCTTATGAAAGGTTTTAAGAGCTGGGTATCCCAAAATATCCAAGACAAGAGCCCACAGGTACCTGGTGAATCAGACAACACACTCAGTTTAGCTAGAAACTGCAGTTGCTGTTCCCCTTATAAGGAAGATGGTCCTATATGTACTAAGTACTTACTTTCCTCTGATGAAAATTGGCATACAAAGCAATGTAGTAGTGGTATACCCAGTCTGAAGGTCAATTTCCCTGCAAACAGCAAAACAAATATGATCAAAGGAGGGTTCTTTAGGACAAGGTCAAGGCAGTTTAAGTGATTTTCGTTCAATTTATCCAATCTATGTAATTACAAATGCACAAGCCTGAAACGTTTGAATAAACATATTTATTTCAAGCACACCTGTTGAATCTTTCATCATGATAGGCATCTGCAATGTTCAGTGTTTCTCCTGTGGTGGCCACATGGCCTGCCACTCCCTTCGTTTTTGGAAACCTGGGAAAACAAGATCAGTTAAAAAGTTACTGACAGTATTTGACAAAATTAAAAATAAAAGACTTGGGTCAGAACTGCAAGTTGCAACAACTGCTTTGACCACCATGGTAAGAAAAAAAACATTTTTGGGACTAAAACTGTAGGCCGGGATGGTTGCCAAATCAAAGTTTCCACCTGAGTTTAGCATTAAAGTTTCAAGTCACAATTTTGCTTTATGATGTAATATGTCTAAGCTGAAGTTAAACTAGGATAATAACTTGAATGAAATTTATTAAATGATTACTTTAACCTTATAACTTGCCTCTTTTACCTCTTTTTCATAGTATTACTAGTCCTTAAATTTTATGTCAGCCATTAAAGTACAAATGAATATGATCTGTACAGTCATATAAGTTGATTACCACAAATACATGTAAAAGATTGTGAAAATTGTAGGAAAGCTGCAATAACATTACCCAGGCATCTACTCTAGACTTAAAACACAGTTCAGATGAATATGCAGTTATCAATCCTTGAACTGGTGTTGCTCAAATATTCAGAAAAATCAGTTTTCATCAGCGTTATTCTCAATGAAAATCTTTCTGACAAAAAATAATTTTATGCATGTATCACCTGATTTCTTTTTGAAGATTTGATGATCTGCTGTCCTCAAGACTCCCTCCTATATCAAATATCCTGGCATACAATTCATTTGTTCTGTTGTCCACAAGGAAGAGTGATGTCCTGTCTGCATCCACCAAAGTTTGTGCATAATTCTTGTCAAAAAAGGAAACATTTGAATGAGTTACTTGAACCAATAATAAAATGGTCGCTATCGTTACAAACAATTGCATTATTATTCACAAATTAAACCTCCCAAGCACTTTTGCACTGGCTTTACCAGTCACAGCTGAGTATAATGGGAACATTTAATGGGAACACATATCCAGATGACTGCAAATACAAAGTACTTTTCCAGTATTTGTTTGTGGTGGAACAACATCACCCATTTCCCTGAGACATTTGAATCCATGTTTGTACTTGTGGTACTTTACACTTTGTGTATACATTAGTGACACTAGTAAAAAGTAACTATCCAGGAAATAAATAACCTGCCTGCGCAAATGTTATTTCAAATGCACTTTACAAAGTTAACAAAGATGTTTCTGCAAAACATGTATGGCTACACTGGTGTGTGCACTTTTTTATGTAAATGTAACCCTTTCACTCCCAAGATCTGAGTAACAATTCTCCTTACTGTCTGCTATACAATTTTTGTAATGATGGTTTAGAGAATTAACAATTCAACAGGATCAACTAAGAATCCCTTATCTGCTTGATATTGTAAGGAGAAAGTCAGTTTTTTGGTCACTCATGGGAGTTAGTGGTTAAAATACATTTGCAATGGTTGAATGTGTATCACATTCTCACCATAATCTTCATAATCACTGTATCCATGCTGACAATATCTTGAAAGATTGACCTGAAAAATAAACAGAAGATAAAAGTCAACAGAGCTTGCTCAATTTCTTATATTAATACTATGACATAACAAAGCAACATGAGTGAGGCCTCACAGGCTTCTCTATTACATATAATGTAAACTTGAAAATATTGAAAGCCTCTGTGAAGAAAGTCATTCATTTAGTATTTTGTACTCAGTGGTAAGAATGAGAATTACAAAAAACCCAAAAAATCAAATTGTAATAACATTTCAGGTTTTTTTTTTCCCACATCTGTTTTAAAAAAATATTCATTTGATTTACCTTGTCACATTTAGTAGAAACTCTGTCAATTTTCTGTGTCTTTGCATGTTTTGGAACATCTGAAAAATTGAAAAATGTATACAATCATGTAAGAAAAGGGAATCTATGATTACTAATAGACAGGAATTTATTATAGACTTCAAAAAGGACAGCTAAGGTTATCAAGCAGTCTTTTTTACCTCCTAATTTCAACTTAATATATCTATTTGCAATGTTTAAAAAATTAACTTACATCATCATAATATCTTGATAATAATAAGTTATTTACCTCTGCATAATACAGTGATATTCCGCCCCACACAAGGTAGCTGTTGACAATCTAGAAAATATCAGAGGCAAATTAGACACATAACTAGCACACAGGGTTGTACACCTTCTGTAGTAACATGATTCACTTATCAACTGTGTTTAAAACTTGATTATATATCTTACATTTCTGACCTTGGGTTTAATCAATAAAAAGTAAGAATTTTCTGAATTAAAGCAAAGTGTATCATACCTCATCATCTTCTTCTCCAAATGCTTCATGACCAAGTCTCCTACATAACTCAATCACACCTGTACAGAATAAAACAAAGAATTTTCCTAACTCAACTAAGCAGCACAAAAGTACCACAAGACTGTAGTTTCTTGCACTAACAAAAGCAATGGAGGTAACTCCCAAGACCTGATTGTCAATTCTCTCCTCTAGCTGCCACACTTTTCCTTGTAAACTAGTTACAGGAAGTTGGTGTTGAATAAAGATAACAACTTTTTCCTGATAAGTTTGAGTATTCCCATTACCCATTTGCTGCATAATGTATGGATATTTTAGGAAGAAGTTACACTTATGGGAGTTTTAGGGTTAGAAAACATATGGTCCAAAAGTTTATTCATGCATGATTGGCCCATCAACTTGTGTCTTTTATCTTTTAATAAATTTATTTTCTTGATAGCATGATACAAAACTTAGGCACCTGCAGCTTCCTATCTTGATAAGTACTGTTAATAGGAGTTTATCCATACAAAGCTTAAACTCACCAATAAGCTCGCCATTTGACTGAATGATTGGCTGACATAAAGCAGACTGTGCTGTGCTATCTGAAAAGACATTCATTTCTGATAGTTTAATGATAAAATAATTTTTCCTGTAATTTATCATCAAGAAGTTTATCCCAAAAGCTCCAAATAGATGGCAAAAGTTTACAAGTCATTAAGTCCTTAAGATCAACATATCAATAATCCTTAATTTAATCAACTTGATCGAGGAAACACACAACATGCTTGCTAAAGAAAATAAAGAGTACTGTAAATTGTTTAAAAGAAAACTACAGGCAAGAACTAATGACAATTTTAAGTAGAAACTGGAGGGGAAAGACAAAATCTGCTCTTTTTTTAGCTTAGCAAGTACATAATAGCTTTAAGTAATAAATTGACTGTGAACCTGCGATAACATTAACACCCTTATGAATGAGAATCAATTAATTGTGTATTGTGGAAGTTCTTAAACACTGTGCTGCAGAAATTTTAAATAACAGTAGACACAAATTATTGAACTTATTCAAATGCAAAATAAGAGAATATAATAATTAGTTACCTTCCAGTCCTATTCCTTCTGGAAAACGGTCATCCTGAATTCAAATAAAGCAAATTTAGGAGATTTGGAAGCTGCATTAGTTAATAAACCTTAAGTATATTCCTTGTAAATAAAAGTAAAACAAAGAAAACAAACTTAGAAAAAAGGGGAAAATGATTTACCTAACAAGAACAGAGTTAATAAAATGATGACAGAACATTCTCCCACAAGTTAGATTTCATGATTGGATGTGAAATTTTTGAAAACTTGCTTTTTGCAGAGCCCAGCTGAATTTTTGAGAACAACAGCTGCAGGTACAATGGAAAAAGTGACCTAGAGGAGTTTTGGCAAGTAACAATAGATTCAATTGAGCATTTTTCAAGTTCAGAATTAGTCACTTATGGATTTGCTGTCTTAATGACTTATTGTGGCTAGGTTTATAAATTGAATAATTAATGACCACACACATTAACTAAAGATCCTAAAGTGAATCAGATCTTGAGTTGTAGGAAGTGTGGTAAAGTTTTTAAAACCTTCTAAGCCCTAATAATGTTCAGCATTGAATTTGTCTCCTCATAATATCAGAACTTCCCATTTTTCCTTAACACTTTGATTCCTAAGAGTGACTAGCATCTAATTTCTCCTTGCAATATCACCCCTAAATCACACTTAAAGGTCAAGGGAATATTAATAGCAAATGATCACCAACTCTAGAAGCTCTTAAGTGTTAAACAAATACTCTCCTTGTCAGCTCCTTAGGAAATTTATATAGAGAATATGCATGGCAGTGATGCAAAGGAGTAACAGGTTAAAAAGAAATTGCCCTGGGCACAGCTGTTAAAAGATGAGTTAGATTAACTCAGGGTTAATGTGAAATCTGATTTCTAATCTGAAAGCTTTAAGGGAAAATTCAGTTCCCTTCTTCTTGTCTAAAATTTGATTAATGGATGCTCTCAAAAGAATACTACTGAGAAATATCCTAAAAAGGCTTTCGAACAAAGGAGTAAATAAACCTGGATCAAAATTTAACCATAGGTTAGCACTTATCAGTCCTTGAACAACATACTGTACCCAGATCTTTAAGAATTTCTCTGAGACATTATACTTGTAATGGGAAAATGAGTGGCATTCAACTCAGTGAGAAGACCTCAAATATTGACTGCAGAGCCTCGAGAGCTAAAAGTACAGCACTTACTCCCAACACTTCATTTGTTCTGAATGGCTTTTGAGTAAAAGCTACATATGCTGCAATTGTACTTCCATCCTTTATTTGAATATTTGATGAAGTCCTCCTAAAAACAATTGTATTATATCTCATCACTCTGATAATATTCACAGGATTAGTTCAAATATGTGAAATAAAGTTAAAAGCTATCATTACCGAGAATCTTGCAGTATTCATTGTTTAACTATTTCTAACAAATTGGATCAATAAATATCAATATAGCACCCTTGTATTGGAGCAATGCATTTTCCTCAAGGGAAAAAAATAGATTGAAGCTCTGAAAGTTTCCAGACTTTCTTCAAATCAGACAAACATATAATTGACCAAAAAAATATGAAAAAAATATCATACAAGAATTAGAAGGGAAGGATGGGCTTTATGTAGTCAAGATAATAAAAAAGTGTCATTCAACCCTTTAACTACCAAGATCTGATTAATAATTCTCCCCTCCAGTTGCCAAACATGTCCTTGTAAATCAGTAATGAGACCTTGGTGTCAAATCAAGATAACAACATCTACCTGATAAGTTTAAGTATTGTAATTACTTGTTTCTTGGATAATGTATGGATATTAAAGGGAGAAGTTACAGCTTAATCACTTCTGGGAATTAAAGGGTTCACAAGAGGAGTTTTACATTAGAAATACTTACCCTTCTGGATGGTTAGGATTGTAGATGAACAATGCCTGACAATCAAACAAAACATTCATTAACAAAATGATGATCTCACAACATTGCTGATCATGTTATTCAAATACAGATCATTTTAAATTAACCCTTTGACTCCCAGATCAAATTTGTAATTCTTCTCAGTGTCAATCATACAATTCTCATAATGTTAGTTCAGAGAATTTAGTATTTGATCAATTAATTATCCCCAAATTGATATTTGTCGTTATTCTCATCACTTATCTGGTTGCTAACCCTAGCCCTATGGATATTGTAGGGAAAAATTCTGTCTTGGTCACTCATGGGAGTTTAAGGGTAAAATTCTTAACCTATGAGGATTAAAAAAAAAAAAAAGCACAGAGCAATGTACGTTGCAAATCATTTTGATAGTAATTTACAGCTATTAGTTTACAATTACGGTAGTCATTTTACACATCATAATGAATATATAATTCAAGTTTTTTTCCTTCTGATTGGTGGTACCATAGTGTGTTTGATAATCATTGACTTGAATTACAATAATTGCAGTTACATATTTTTATCCTTCATTAATATCATTTTTTTTATCATTTCAGTGCCTAGCAACATCTTACCTTTCCTGTAGCATCAACTAAATACAAAGTGAAAGAATCTGCATGACAAGCTGTTAAAAGAGAAACACCAAACATACGTGAATTAATTATCATACACCCATTAATTTTTTAAAATCATAATGTACAGGGCTAGGTTGTTGAAAACTGGGTTTAGATAACACAAGGTTAGTGTGAAATTTTATTTCAGATCTGAAAGCTTTTAAAGAAATTCAGTTTATTAGGCCATTTGTGTACAATTCAATGATTGAATGCTTTAAAAAGAATTGGAAAAAATTAATTATTCCAAAACAGCTTTCAGCCCAGGATCATACAGCACATGTAAATTAATTTTAAGATTGCCATAGGGGGCTGCGCATAATAACAAGAGTCGTCAAGGCTAATGTTTGTGTTATCCACTAAAAGTTAACCGCAGTATGACCCCCCGGGTTAAAAGTCTCCATTTAGCAACCAACTTTTCACATTAAGGTGTGGGAAAGAATTTTATGGCAAGAAAATATAGCTGTTATCAAATCATTACCATTAAATTATTAGTACTCTCTACAAAATTTAATGGCAATGCATTCATCTAATCTAGCTACAACTAGCAACTTGAACAGCCAGCTATAAATTACTCTATATTACTCACTAAAAGAGATTTTTGAGCATTTTTTTCAACTTCACTAGCCTTAGCATATCCTACCTGATGCAATACAGTTTGCCAACTCCATCAACACCTTCTGCTTGTTTGGTGACTGATGAATATCATTTGTCAGCTCTTCCAGCATTTTCTTCTTATCACTATGTACACAAAACTGTACAGAGAGGAAAATAAATAAATAAAACTTTACTTTAACACAAGAACTGGTTAATATAATACACCTCCCCTCCCCTACTAATGCATTCCTGAATTCTGTGTTGTTCCTGGGCCAAAAAGAAAAGGTTGCCCCTTTAACTCCCATGAGTGATCAAGACAGAAATTCTCCTTACAATATCAATACAACATCAACCAGATAAGTGACGAGAATAAAGAAAAATATCAATATGGGGATAAAATCAAAATTGGATCAAATTTAGTTGATCCAATACTAAATTCTCTGAATTAACATAGGAATTGTATAGTTGCCAGTAAGGAGAATTACAAACTTGATCTAGGAGTTAATTGGTTACCTTTAACAGTGACAAAATATTTTCTTACAATAAATTGCCTTTTGAAAACTCAATGTCAATTTTTTTAGATGGGCTACCCATAAAACCCACCAGTCATTAATCAGGGTTTTTATAATACAATTAAGCATGTTACATATAAATTTAACCCAAACAAGTGATTAAATGGGATTTTCCCAAGAAGCTGATGATAAGAACAAAGAGCACTGAACCTGAGAGGTATTATCTTGATAAATCACATAATCCTCTTAACTACTTTACCAGGGGAAGTATCCAGCTTAATGGGAATTAAAGCTTGAGAAAGCCTAACAATGTCAAGGGTGATATAGGGATAGGAATTAATAATTTCTGGTTTCTATCCAAAAAAAATCAATAAAATAGGGGTATCCCCTTAAGCCCTCAAACACCATGTGGGATGGAGGGATAAGGAATAGGAATATTACTACTGGTACTGAAAAATATGACTCCTGCAGAAACCAGGGGGGAAGGGGGAGGGGAGAATATTACCACCACTTGAAAAATATGACCCACACAGAAACTGGGGGTGGGTGGGGAGGGAGGAATGGGTATATTAGCAATTGAAAAACATAACCCCCACAGAAACTGGCAAATTGAAAATATGACCCCTACAGAAACCACAATGTAGGAAAACAACTAAGACTTAATGAGCACAACAACAGCTCTGCATGTGTGTTTAAACAATTCTTACTTTTTTTAATTTTCCAATACAAAACAAAAAATATTGAAATCACCAAATTTTATGGAGTCTGAGAACTGAGACTGTTCAAGCAAAATATTATTGTTTCTACTTCGAAGTTGGCACTACATTTACAAGTTATGCTATTAGAGAGATCTGGCACTGTTTGAGAAGGTATTCACTGTAAGCTCCCCAAAAAATTCATCGGAGAAATGAAAGTTATTTTTCTTTTTCATGTCATTTTCCTGTGACATCTAAATCTCCCCATTCAATTTATTAGTACAGGAAAACTCTTCAATGGTCAATAGTAATTTAAAAAATTTATTAATCGATGATGACAGCAGCTAAATTTTATTATTTACTAAAGTATGACCCATTCAAAATACAAGGAGCAGATGTTGCAGACTAAGAGTTTAACCATATTAGAATTTGACAGTTCTCTGACGACATTCAAGTATTTTCTTTTAAAGTAAATTATTTTTCAAACCTGAGTCTGTCGTTTGGCTGGAAAAATATCCTTTTCTAATATATCTATTGAATCATTTAAGTAAGTCATTCTTACAGATGTTTTTTATATAATGTTGTGAAACTGAACGCAGTACATCCTAGTTGGTGTTAAGAATATTTTCAATCGGGATCCATGACCTCGGTTAATTTGTTAACGAACGGAAAACCTTGTCGAAGGAATAACGAAATAAAAATAAAATTTAAAGGAAAACGGCGATCGCTAAAAGATTAAATGTCAACGTTTCGAGTGCGGCAATTTCAAATGTCAAAGGAAGTGGCCTCACAAACCAGTGAAGGATATCTTATGCCTCTAATAACAAAAAAAAGAACACATGTACGTACAAACTGCAATATCATTTGGCTTGCTTACCTTCCACTTCGACAGAGATGGACGATGTGGGTCTGTATAAAAAAAATGTATAAAATTGCGCCTTTTACTTATATAAAGGGAGCACACCGAAAAATACTTTAACTGCTCGTTACTTCAAATGACGGTAGAGTTGACATTGTCCCAAATTAAAACAGGCCGCTTACCACTTTGTTTATTATTTTCATGATCGAGAGAACTTGAAGGCTTCTTCCCCGCTTTAATCTTCAATTTTCGCGTCTTCCTAATGAGCCATCGCTCCAAACGGTCTTGATCGACATGTTTCATCACATAATCCTCCAAAAACACAGGGTTTGCTCGGAGAAAAATACGCACTGCCTCTTCATCGACATCAGCTGAAATTTTGAAAAAATAAACAGGAGCAATAAAATAAACCCAAAGTAGGGACAGATCATATCTTTCTTTGAAAATACCATTTTCGGCACAAAACAGCGCCTACACACAAAAAAGGAAATCATGAAAATCAATTTAACTGGAAAAAGGTTGGTAATTATTTAAGAGCGTAGGACACGGGGCAAATTTTTGTTTCTTCGGAGCAAACAATATCTTCAAGCCAGATCACGATGCAAAAGAACACATGATTAGGTTTGAATTTCTGAACAAAATCTTACGCACTCAAACTTCATGATCGTTGTATCAATATATAACAAAAGTGAGATTGTGCGAGAATAGTGCCGTGAAATTGTAAGGGTCAATGCTATCATTAACGCGGTTCGAACTCGTTTAAAAAATTGCACTAACCTTGGCCATTTCCTATCGCTTTTCCCTGTACCAAAGCTGGCCGAAACGGCCCATCGCCAAAGCTTGCGGTCAGATCAATGTGGGTAATATGACTGCTCTGACCATGGTTGTTTGATGTTCGGTTGCTAGAAGGCCCTTTCGCTGCCTTTGCCTGTGAAACAGGCGAAGTCCCATGACCGTTCGAAGCGCGCTGATAAATAGGGCTGTAGCGCGAACCGCTTGGTAGAGGAGGAAGCCGACGATTTCCAACCTGGCGTGAAGGACTCGACATCAATATTTTCGAAACCGGTTTCCTTTCATGTGAAGTTTTTCCTTCACAGAAAGACGGACGAACCACAAGCGATGTTTATCTTCATCGCTAAGCGAGAATAAGCAGCTGGTTGCAGATAGTCACGTGACCCACCGGAAGTATAATTCACAGCAATCTTTTTACTTATGTCACTTTTGTTCCCTAATTTGACGCGCGCCGCGGTAAGCAGACAAAACAAGCTTTTTTCGGAAAAAAAAGAAAAATGTATTGTATTGTTCTTGTTGTTTTATTTTTATCTCGACTTAGAACATCAGCTGGAATCACAGACTGAAAAGGAAGCCGTAGCATTAAAAGATATTAAGGAAACTAAGACAAGTCTTCTTCCTTTTTACTGAGAAAAACGTTGATCCTTTCTCATAAATAAGAAGGCGCAAAAATACAAAGACAAATTGCTGAATTAAATTTTTTTAAAATATAATAGAATAAATAAATGTCTTTTAGAAGCTATGAAATCGTAATCGGGGGCACAATTTTCGCGGAGATAGTACATTTCAAAACATTTTAATTTTAACATGCAACCCTGTCAACATGTGGTAAAGAATCATTGACGTGTTTTCTCGATTTAACGAGGGGTCTCAGGTTTGCCCGGTTTGAAATTAAGAACACCAAATTAAACCCTCTTGGCACTCTATTTTGAAACAAGGTCAATGTATTGTGGTGAGATGTATGACTGACTGAATTTATCATAACGTCGGTGCTCAAAAGAAAAAAACCCTGAAAACTCTCGTCGCGTCTTGACGCCAATTTTTAATCAAACGCTCGGAGTGCTGTGCTGTGCCATGTATTAAATTCGATTTTAATTATCTGGAGTCTTTCTGAAATAATTTTCTTTAGTTTCTTGCCTTTCAATCCTCAGTTTTTTTCGAATGATTTCTTTGTCCACGGCAAAATTTTAAATGAATTCGTCTATTTTAAGATTACAATGAAAATCACGAGGCTACTTTGATGATATGTTGTCATCAATTTTTAAATACGCGTAATTTTTCTTCAGATAATAGTTGCTGTACATTACCCCGGTAAATGAAGAATCAGATTAAGTCTACTAGCTATTAATGGGTTTATTCTGTTTTAAATTTAGTTACGCAACTGCTTATTTTGATCGTAGCAAAAAACTGATTAAACAAAAAGTTTTCGTCATGAAAAACTTTCGTAATCTTCCAAAGGAACATAGAAAGTCTAAGTCAAAATTTTGCGCTATTGAGTGTTGGAAAAGCAACGTTATTTCATTGCCTCCGAGTAAATTAATTCGGGAGAGTACAGTCAGTTTTCCTTTTTCTGGCAGGATAAGAAAAAAAATCCACTGCACAAATTGCAGAAAAAACTTGGCAATGTTTTCTTTCCGGTCGCTTGGTAACTTTTTAAGAGGTTTAAATTCATTTCTATCCGTGAAAATAAGTAGTCGAGCCACCATTTGTTGGGGGGTTGGCAGCTGAGTTTTAGGTCATCGCAATTTTATTTTGAAAATTTTATTCCTTGGATGAAAGCCCTCAAATAATCAAGAAAACTTCCTCTGTGCAACCCCGTTGAATACAGCACAGGATAGTTTTTTTTTTCTGGAAAATTAACTCGGACGAGATAAAGCTAAGCAAGAGAAAACTTAAAATTAAAGTATTTATTAAAAGTTAGAATCGAATTTTCGAGTAATGTGTGAAGCTCTGTATAACAAAACATTAGCAAATGACAGAAATTTTAAAGCGATGATAAAACTGAAGTATATCACCTTCAGGTATCGAAACAGCGATCCTTAGCTATCGAGACTAATATGGTATGCAAATTTTATCATGACGTCAATGTTCTCACCAAAGTGGTCCCATTGGATGAGACTGGTTTCCCGGCTTTGACACTGATGGCTTGAAAGGGGTAACCGTTTGTGATTCGGTGACGCAAGTGATTTTTTCATCGATTTTCTGATTTCATATTTAAACTCTTGGTTAGACAGACTGGCTTGGAGAGCTATGTGTTGCAATTCCCTCAGCTAGCTCTTGGACACAGGCTTTTTTATCTTGACTCCTATGCAATACTGATGTCAAAGTTGACAGTTGTCCATAAAGTAGACTCGCATAGCATGGCTGTGGTCTAGCAGCACCCAGTGGGCCCTGGGACCTAACTTTTGCTCATGGGCGACTTAGGAATTTTAGTTTTTCCATAAAAAGCATATGCTGGGCACCCTGGATTTCACAGTTTCAGAGCTCTGAGCTCCCTTCAATTTTTCTTAGAGCACAACCTTGCATAGAAAAAAAAATTGAGAGTACTGGCCAAAAATCTGTAAAATAACTTCTTTTATTTTTCACATCTTGAAATGTTTTGAATGACATTCATCATTTCATATGTTTTATGCACATTGCAGTTAACTGTTCCCACTGTAGTGCAATGTTCTAATCTTGTTCCAGAAAGATTCCCGCACAGCCTAACACCACTCTAAAACAAAGCCACAGTCCCAAAGGCAATCAATTATTTGTTAGCCGTCTTTATCCAAGAACTATGAAGTAAGGGGCTGTGCGGCAATCTTACCCTTGTTTCTGACTTTGTATCAATCTGTATTATAAAGAATATTTCTCACCACATAAAAATTATCCTTATAGTTTTGAAAGTTCCAAAGTTGCTTTTCATACATCAGATGGAAAATACAGTGTTTGAGACGGGTATTTAACCATCATACCAATATGACTAAAGTGACTAGAATCTATTTGAAACTGTTATGAAAACCACCAGATTAACTATATATGTATTAATCTGACAGTTTTCCCAACAGCCCTCAAAATCTGTAAAATTGATTAGAAAACCCCTATAAATGCTGCAGGAACATGACAAGTCTAGTTTGACTCAAAAATCCCAAATCCACATTTTTTTTTTCGCACATGCAACATAACATATTATGTCATTAAAATTCACATCGTTCGAATTAACCAATGAGCAAGTGCCTGAAATTGAACAATAAAAATGAAACAAAGTTCGTGATTGCTCACACCAGAGTAAAAGTGCCAACTGAGTTCTTTAAAAGTTTTTTATCAATTTCATAAATGCAGAAAAGGTCGCAACATGTTTATTCACCATTTTCAGTCCCAAACAAAGTCTTATCCTTTCTTTAATATCACACCCATCCCCATCCTGTAAATGTAAAGTTCTCCTCATCATCCTCATCATCATCGTAATCATGGAAGTAATCATTAACACTACATCTGCTTTTCATTGGCTCTTGGTTGCCAGGAAGCACATAGGTCCTCCAAGCAAACTGAAGTCTGGTGATACCTTCTTCACCTTGTGAGTAAACGACTGCAGCACCAATTCCTGCCAGGAAACCGTACGACCCTGGTGGAGTTTCAGAGAAGAATCCTCCACCATCCCCTCCATAAGGACCATAACATTTAGGTTCTCCATTATCATCTTTCTTGTTTGAAAAAAATTGGAGCTGGTTGATCATCAGTCCAGAGTTTACTTCAACTCTAACAATCCTCTCATTTTCTTCCAGGTGAAATTCATGGTGTTCACAGTGACAGGAGTCACTTCCAAACTTCACCTCTCTGTCACCATTGTAGAAAATCCTTAGGCCACCTAGTACAGATGTCCCACACCATTGGCGGATCCATAAATCCATTCCCTTTATAAACACATCATTTCTCAGATCTTCAACAATCATTTCGTCACTGTGATGTGATCTTACAGAAAGTCTTCGCACATCACTTGCAAAGCAACACCCCCACCAGACTACAGGTTTGGCAAATGCCCTTGTGGTTGCCCACCTTTCATCCGGTGAGTCTTTCCCAGAGGAATCAATTTGCAGTTTCTGTGCCTTTGCAATCCATTCTGTGCACGAGTTTGCAAGAAGCTTATGTAACAGGATTTCTTTCAAATAAGACTTTGATATGGTTGGAAGTCGTACTAAAGATAACAATTCTGGCAAATTCTTTTTTCGGTTTGCTAGATCATGTTCCACATACTTAAAAACAGCTTCCAACACCGCCCTTTCCCGTTCCTCTGCAACCGGAATTAGGTTCTCGATAACTACACAGATACCTTCATCGGCAAGAATCTCTTTGAGGAAACCAATTGGAAGAGAGAGAAATTCCTCCTCCTTGCAGATCTCTGTGAAATGCTGCAGGGCGTACCTTTTGGCAGTTTTCCTTAGCTTTTCCAGCGAAAAACAATCAGCAAGCTGCCAGATGTTAAGACAAGTTTCATCATCGATTGCATCTTTCAAGAAATCTCCGCATGATTTCTTGACAAACTCCACCTGCAAATAATTGGAAGCCTCGAGCAAAGTTTGCACATTGTCTTTGTTGATATTAATTTTGCCCGAATATGCGAATTCGATCAAATCGCTGACAGCATTCTCGTCAAAACCAAGAAATTCTATCTCTTTTTCCACCCCATCGTCCCAGTGTTTCCCAAGTAGGGCTTTAAAGTAAGGACTTAAACGAGACCAGAACAACACGATGAGCTCGAAGTCGTCGGTCTTGGCTGATCTTTAAAGCGACATCACAATGCATGCCGTGCTTGATTTTATTTGAATCGCTTGTGAGCGAGAGATCAATATTTGTCGAATACGACCGGCCAAGAAGGGGAAAATATCCTTTTCCAGTGGCCATGTTGAAACGAGAATACTGACTGAATTCCAGTTTTTGCTCGGCTGAAACTGTCCTCCCAACAATCTCGTTCCCAAGGCCTTGCGATCTAAATTCAGCCGAGGAGAGTGCGAGGAGGTTTGAAAATGTCTTGCTTTTTCAAGTTTGTAAACGAAACAATATCACTTAAAGTCAGGAGCACATCATCTCCAAATAAAAAAAGGGAAAGCGGTAGAGTACTTTATTTGCACAGAGAATGGACAATTTGAAAATTGATGAGAGGCTTGAAATGGAGCTTACTTGGTGAAAATGGGAAAAGGAGGAAAAGGCAGGGACCGCGCAGCAAGTTTTCGAGTGGAGGGGCTAAAGAAGAATGCGTGAAGGAAATTTTTTTTGTTAAATTATTTTTTGTTTAATTTATTTTTTTTCTTGCAAAAAAGTGGGAGGGCTAAAGCCCCCCCCCCCCCAGCTCCTCCCTCGGCGCGGTCCCTGAAAGGGTAGTGATTTGGTCACTGGCTTACAATTATTATATTATCTGTTATGACTGCTGTAACCTTTCCTCTCCGCCTGCCTCGTCTAGCTTTTGCTATTTGTGGGTGGAGATGGCAAAATGATTTGCATGAAATAAAGTATAGTGTGAGTGTAGTCAAGCTGTGTGTAATCTTGGAGCTATCCTGAAAAACGAATGAGTCAATCCCCATGAAATGACAGGGAGGATCTTCAATTTGTGACAATGTCTTTTGTCGATTTCTTTTCATCTAAGAGTTCACATAGTTTTCATCTTCCAAAGAAATAAATAATAATATAATAATAAATAATAATATATGGGATTTAGTAGTGGACATTCGATGAGGTGACTCTTCTTGTCCGCTTTTTTGGAATTCGGAAGTAGGCGCGTTACAATCTCTCTTGGGAACTTGCAGTTTTTAATAGAGAGGAGTGAAGATATGCCAGACTTTCCAGACTCTAGATATATGTGGCATTTTAAGAGGTTCTGTAAAGTGTGTTTATAATTCAAAGAGGAAAGTCAATTGGATGTGTATGATAAAGTCAGGATTCATGGAATCAGAGAACTGGTGAAGACATCATACAATTTATGTTGTGCATAACTCACTAAGAGTTCTTCAGCATTACCCTTACAACCACATCTCCCTTTAGCACACACATAGTATGTCCATTTCAAAAGATGTCTGCTACAGTGAAAAGGTGTTGCTACCTCCAGCTAAAGTTTCATCATGCAAAGGCTGGTTATTCAATTTAAGTAAGACTTCCTCAAAGTGGGAAATAATAGATTCAAGCACATTTTTAACTGTCCTAGCAACTTAATTAAACCTACAGGTCTTGAGTTCTTTCAACTATGGATACAGCTTTCACACTTTCCAAAACAGCTTAAGTTCCCTGTCAAAGATTTCTAAAGCAGCTATATATTCTGAACAAATTTTATCAAATGATTTTCATGCACCTCATGTGCCACTTTTCTTGTCCTTGACACATTTTGACACCATCTGTGATCTATAACTGAACAATTAAACAAAAGAAAAACTCTGACTTGCTACCCCTAGTGCAAGGTCCATCTCACAAAGGCTGAACTTGACTAATAAACTTATACCAACACCTGCATCACAGAGCTCAAATGAATGTTTGCTTCCACCAGAAAAAACAACCCAAACATCATGAAGGGGCCAACTTTTGACTCAAGCTCTGAATGTATCATCGATAGAAATTTATTTGAAAAATCACTGTGAAAATAATAATTTTATATCATACAAACAAACAAAATTTGACTATTAAGGTTCTGAATACACAAAATTTGTAACACAAAATGTTGGTTCTCAACATTCACAAAGAATTTTTAAGAAAAAGTTCTATGATGAATGCCCTCTAGTAGATGGCTGAAAAAAATAGTTTTGTATTTATAGCCACAAACTGTAAGTAAAAAAAATTTAAACTAGTTACAGTGAAAATGGACTTTTGAGAATAAACGAATGGATGCGTTTTTGGGTTTACATGCCCTTTAAGGTTCTGAATACACAAAATTTGTAACACAAAATGTTGGTTCTCAACATGGCATTTACATTGTCCTTAAAAAGTCCTTTGCAAGTACCACATACTCAAACAACATATAAGGTCTGTCTACCTGTAAAAATAAAAATAATGAGAGGTAAAGCATATAAAGTGACAATTTTCAATCACAAGGGGTCTGGCAACCATTCCCCCTTTCACTCCCCAGATCTAAATTTTAGTTCTCCACACTGTCTGCCATACATTTCAAAAAATTTTCACTTAGAGAATTTAGTGTCAAATCAGAGGGTGTCTGCTACTCAACATGTTTCTTTCTTCTCAACAACCTTTTGCTTAAAACTTCAGATGAACTGTTAGGAGAAATTCCAATTTGGTCACCACTGGGAGTGAAAGGGTTAAGTACAATTGGAACAATCAGTGATATGACTAAATACAAGCCATACAGACATAAGCCATTTTAAGGTGATTCGTTCGTATTTCATTGCCCATCCTGTACTGCACATAAAACTCACATAAACTGGCAAATAAGCGCATGCATTCCAAAAACATGTTGTTTTTTAATTAATACAAAAGAGGTGCCATGGTCTTTAGCTCTTGAATAAGCATGGCCACCTATATTTTTTATTGCATAATTTTGGTGTACTTATTATCTCCTTTAACTTGGAGAAATAAAAAAAATCAATTAAAGAAAAAAACAGATATAGCAAAAAGGTGTGGACAAAGCCTGTCACTTAGTGCAAATTATGACCTTGACATGGATGATTTGAGAAATTTTTCAAGTCAATGTTGTTTAAAATTGTGATTTTTCCACAAATTATATATTGAATTGTTCTGTATCATTCCATACTTTAAAAACCCTTGCATCCAACTTCTGCAAAATTTACTGTGCCCATTATACCTCTTAATAAAATAAGCACAGCAAACTATCTTTTTTATTGTATACTTTCAAGACAATGGTAAAGAACATTTAAGGAAAGTATAAATAAATTGTTTGATAACTTATTTTTTGAGGGATCACTTTAAGACAAAGTCTTATGTTAACCATTATCCTTTTTTTCTAAACTAGTTATAATCTATGGTGACTGGAGAATTTTTCTCCCTACTGGCATTGCATCAGAACACAAACAAAAAGCTGTAGTACACAAGCTGGACATGAAATTTTCTGGATTAAGTTGTTTGAGACATGAAAAGCACCATGCTAGATTTAAGCTGTCACAGTAACACAACTATGGGTATTGTAGGCAGTGAACCCAGGATTAAAATTCGTCAGGTTAAAAAGAAAACCTGAGTCAGATTCAATATTCTCTAGGGCCTTCAATCAATCTCAATCCTAGGTGTGATCAGTACCAAACAAATTCTGCTTGCTCTTTCAAGACACTGTCAAACAGTCTGGTTATGAAAATTAAGGGTCTGGGTTGTTGTCTAAACAAAGCACCAAATTCTTCTGACTGATCAAAGCAGTTTCCTCACGTGTCAGGGCATGAAAGTTTCTTTTCAACTTTTTTATCAGTTCAGACAAGTGTGGTGTTTCTCTTGTCTGGATCATAAGTGTACCTGCCCCAAAACCTTGAAGACAACATCTACAAGGTAAGAAGCAAGACTCCCTTAGAAGTTAATGGCCACACTCTGTATTATGTAACCAGTCATATATAGAGTACACCAATGGATTTTTGATTCTACTATCTGTAAGCAGTACTTACTTTGATGGGCAAAAAAAGTTATCAAATTCAGGTAACAACATAAAAAATCATAATGAATGCCTTCTTTTTCAGACAGCCAAAGTTTCCTACCCTCTTTCCAGAGAAGGCTATACAATACAACAAAAAAAATTTTTTTACACGTTCAACCCTGCAAGTATTTCTTGGAAGAAATACCCAGAAAGACATAATAAATTTTATGGCAGGTTAATGATCAATAAATTCTACATCCATTCTTACCACAATCTCAGGCAAATGGCTTAAACATGTAAATTTGTATTCCTCCTTCCTGATTAATTATATCATCAAAGTCATCAAAACCTTCATAACCTTCGTAACCATCAAAATCTTTGTTGTCATCATAATTGTTATAATCATAACTCTCTATATTATTCCATATTAGTGCCCATCACACCTCTTAATTAAACAAGCACAGTGAACCATCTTTTCTATTGAATTTTTTAAGACAATGGTAGCAAATATTTAAGGAAAGTTTAACAAATTGTTTGATAAATTTTTTTTCTGAGGAATCACTTTGAGACAAAGTCTTCTGTTGACCATTATCCTTTTTTTCTAAACTAGTTATAATCTAGGTTGTTTAATTCTTCTGCGGCAGCGAGAAAGTCATCAAAATCTTCATAACCATCATAATCTTCATAACCATCAAAATCTTCGTCATCATCATAATCGTCATAATCATAACTCTCCTCATCATCATAGAAGCCATCGTTAGCTTTGCATCTGCTTTTCATTGGCTCTGGGTCACCAGGAAGCACATATACCCTCCATGCAAACTGAAGTCTGGTGATACCTTCTTCACCCTGTGAGTCAACAACAGCAGCACCAATTCCTGCTAGGAAACCGTACGACCCTGGTTGAGTCTCAGTGTAGTATCCTCCACCATCCCCTCCATAAGGACCATAACATTTAGGATCACCATTTTCATCTTTCTTGTTAGTGTAAAAGGAGAGGCGGTCAATCATCCATCCAGAATTAACATCAACTTTGACGATCCTTTCATTTTTTTCCAAGTGAAATTCATGGTGTTCGGACTGATCAGAGCCACTTCCCATCATAATCTCTTGGTCACCGTTATGATTATAAAAAATCTTCAGCCCTCCCAGAACAGGCCTCCCATCCCAGCGTCGAATCCAAAGTTTCATTCCCTTTATGAAGACGTCACTGCCAAGATCTTCAACAGCCTCTATGTTGTTGTGATGAGATGTTTCAGGATGTACGTAGCCACCATTAGCAAAGGAACGCCCCCAACTGACAACATGTTTGGCAAACGCCCGAGTGCTCGCCCATATTTCATCGGCTGAATCTTTCTCGGGGGAATCAGTTTTCAGCTTCCGAGCCTTTGAAATGATTCCTCTGCTGGAGTCTGCAATAAGTTTGTGTTCTGAGATTTCTTCCAGATAAGACTCTGATAAAGTTGGAAGTCGTACCAAGGATAACAATTCTGGAAAATGTGTTTTTCGGTTGTCGATATCATGCTCAACATACTTCAAAACGGCTTCCAACACGACCTTTTCCCTTTCCTCTTTGGACGGAATCAGGCTCTCAATAACCACACAGATACCTTCATCAGCAAGAATCTCTTTCAGGAAACCAATTGGAAGCGACAAAAACTCTTCCATCTGAGTGACTTCAGTAAAGTGCCGCGAAAAGTGATTTTTAGCCTCCTTCATTAGCTCTTCCAGCGCAAACAAATCAGCAAGCTGCCAGATGCTAGAACACGTTTTATCAATGATTGCACCTTTCAGAAAATCTCCGCACGATTTCTTGACAAACTCCACCTGCAAATAATTGGATGCCTCGAGCAAAGTTTGCACATTGTCTTTGCTGATGTCAATTTTGCCCGAATATGCGAATTCGATCAAATCGCTGACAGCATTCTCGTCAAAGCCAAGAACTTCTATCTCCTTTTTCTCTCCATCAGCCCAGTTTTTCCCGAACAAGGCTTCAAAGTAAGGACTAAAAGAGGCCAGAACAACACGATGAACTGAAAGCCGTCGGTCTTCACTGATCTTCAAAGTGACATCGGAATATCTGCCATCTTTGTACGTGGTCAAAAGTCCCTTCAGCAGATTACAGCCATGGCTTGAATCGTTTGCATGTAAAGTTTCCATATCCGTCGAAAAATACCTTTCCAGAGAAGGTAAAACTCTTTTCGTTGTGGCCATTTTAAAGATTTTCCGAGAAGGGAAAACTAATGTTTGGTTTCGCCAACGAGGTCTGGGAGTCTTTGCTCATGGTCGAAAGCGGAAGTCGGGGTGACTAGTTACCAGATCTCACTCGAATAAAATTGGCCTCACATTTTACTTCTTGCTTATTGTCCTTCGACGTCAGGGAAGCAATGAAGAGGGGGGTGAATAGGCCAACGGATCGGAGGATTCTGAAAATTATTTTGCTCGGATTTCGGATTCAGAGCGAAATTTCAACGGATTTGCGGATCCTGAACTTGCAGCGATTCGCAGTTTCATCGATTTTTTGGGTCCGGATTTTGGATTTTGCTTGCGAGGAAGTTCGAATCGTGGATTGAAAAGGTTGTCAGAAATGCGTTGTTTCTGGGTATGTGTATTTTTTTTGTCACGACCGGACGAGACTCACTGCATGTCACGCATCAGGGAAATAATAACGAACTATGGCCAGCATGAGGAAAGAGGAAGAATATGCATCACTTGGACATGACAAACACCGAGTAAACTTCATGGTTTGGTAAACATGTTGGTTCTAAAAAATAAGCGCCTCGTTTGAAAACCGCTGTGCGTCAGAAACAAGGTCTTTAATCGCCTCGAGGCTCCCCACAGAAAACCGTCACTTTCGATTGCATTTAACACCAGTAGTAAGACCAAAAAATGTATTTGTGCGTTGACTTTTTACCGGGCGACTTGACTTACATATAGAGAGAGATGGTTTAAATGAGTCACTGCAATACGGATAACTTAAATTATTTTTGAATTTTCGAACCTTTGGCTCGATGCGCTAAACGAGGGTCAAGTCTACCTTTGGGTTCACCAATGGAGATTAATTGTACCAGTGCATATTTACACTACCCTCTCCCCCAGTGCAGCAAAATTGTTACTCCGATAATTTTCTCGATCAGTTACGAGCTTTTCCGCCTCCCTTCGGCCAAAGTCCCTCAGGACGACCAATAACTCCGGACTTTTGTTTGATGCTTAATGGAAAAGTTGACCCGGAACAATGGACCATTTCTTGCTACGGCGCACATTCAGGCAATCGCGTTAGTTGACCGATAGCCTGTGTTCCTAGCAGATTCACATTCCAAGAGAATACATGATGCACAGCTCTAGTATGACGGATATGGGTTTATGTGCAATAAATGTTCAACGCATCATTGGTTATGGAAACGATTTACCAGAGACAGCTTCAGATATCCGAAGACAGAGTCGACCTGGCCCTGTCTGACGGTTTGGAGTCTTCTGAAGTAAACAAGAATGAGGAGGAAGTTGAAACAGGCGACAGTGACCCCGAGAATGTGGAGGAGATCCCAGAGTATGACTCAAGTACAGACGAAGACGAGGAACCAGAAGATGGAGATTCAAGCATTCCTGAACTTGACAGACGGTCCACTTTCCTATTAGGGGGCCACGACACTCTTTGGACGACAAGTCAGGATCAACAACAGATTCCTAATGTAAAGGTAGATCTTTCAGTTAGCGGTTAAAGATCCTATAAATAGTGTCAGAACGTTTTTTTAAAATTGTTTAGCTATAACACACAACAGCTCAAGGTACGTTTTTCACCTTTCCACGTGACAAGTAGAACACGGTTTCGGATTAAACAATTTTCTTTAAAGGCTTGACGGATTTGCATACCCCTATTCACCCCCCTCAATAAAATAAAAGATCTTTGAAATTACTTATCTTATGAATTGATCTACCAAACCAGATGAACCATATATCAGTCATATATCTTCTTTTTTCTCTCCATTGTTCCAATTTTTCCTGAAAAGGGCTTCAAAGTAAGGCTTAACAGAGCCAGAGCAACACGATGCACTGAAAGCCGTCCGTCTTCACTGATCTTCAAAGGGATATCAGAATATCTGCCATCTCTGTACATGGTCTGAAGTCCCTTCAGCAGTTCGGAACCATGACTTGAATCATTTGCATTAAAATTTTCCAGATTGCTCTTCGTTGAGAGAGAGCTGACCAAAGATGAAGTCCACAGTCCCTTAGCAGTGGCCGTGTAGACGATTTTTATACCAAGAGAAATCCTGATCTTTCGGTTTAATCACGTTGGTTTCAAGCGATCAAAGGCAATATATTTTACCTTCATTTTCGAAGCTGAGCATAGCTTTGTTTCTTTATTAATACATCCGGAGAGGACTAAAATGCCTCAGTTCGATTCGTGGTCGTGGTAATTGTCACTATCATGCAATTCAGGGCCGGAATGAATCTGCCACAATCAATACTAGAAAGTTTTATACATCTGCCAGAGCTGATGTAGCTATGAGGACTGAACTTCATTGTTTTTGTTAAGCTGCTTTGTAAAAATTATTAAGCAATTCAGAACCGTCAAGTATTTGTTTCTTTGATCCCGACCTGTGTGTATTAATACGTTTGTCCGTGATCGAAGTTTAACGGAAGGAGGTCGTTACCAGGACTAGCGTACGTTATTCGCGCAAAACTTTGAAAACTTCTAAAATAAACGATATCATTATTTTGATTAAAAGAGATGAACTTTCATCTTACGATGACCATAAACTTCGACGGATCAATGCTGTGGTTGAGAAAATCACCACCTAACGAAAAGGCCCTCCTAAGTTTAGGAAATGGACTAAGACAAAATTGTATGATCGGGATCGGGATTGGCCAGTATGAACCGTCGGGATTACAGGATTGAGAAAAAATTTTAGTCGGGAAGAAAAACGCTATTGGAGACCCTCTGTAAGGAGAAATTAGACTGATGCTAGTCACTCTTAGGAGTTAAAGGGTTTATTAAATAAGCAAGGTGAACTATCTTTTTTATTGTAAGAAGGAACATTTTAGGAAAGTTTAAAGAAATTGTTCGATAACTTTTTTTTCTGAGGAATCACTCTAAGACAAAGTCTTATGTAAACCATTATCCTTTTTAATGAATAAAACTCGCATAAACTGGCAAATAAGCACATTCATTTCAAAAACACATAATTGTTTTTTAAATAATGGATAAGAGGTACCATGGTCTTTAGCTCTTGCATGAGCACAGTGACCTATACCTTTTATTCATAATATCGGTGTCCTAATTATCCCCTTCAAATCGGAGAAATAAAAAAAATTCGTTGAGGAGAAAAACAAATATAGCTAGAAGCCTGCATAAAGCCTGTTACTTAATGCAAATTATGACCTTGACAGTGACAATTCAAGAAAGTTTTTAAGCCAATGTTGTTTAAAATTATGTGACTTTTCCAAAACTTTTATACAAATTGTTCCATATTATTCCATACTTTAAAACCCATGCTTCCAACTTCTGCGAAATGTACCAAGAACTGATGGAATACCGCACGTGAATAGGGCCCATCATACCTCTTAATTGAACAAGCACGGTGAACTGTCTTTTTTGTTGTATTTTTCAAGACAATGCAGGAAACATTTAAGGAAAGGGTAAAAAATTGTTTGATAACGTTTTTTTTTTTTCTGAGGAATCACTTTGAGACAAAGTCTTATGTTAACCATTATGACCATTGTGCGGCAACGAGAATACCACCAAAGTCATCAAAATCTTCGTCGTCATCGTAATCGTCATAATCATCATCATCATCATAACTCTCCTCATCATCATAGAAGCCATCGTTAGCTTTGCATCTGCTTTTATTTGGCTCTAGGTCACCAGGAAGCACATATGCCCTCCATGCAAACTGAAGTCTGGTGATACCTTCTTCACCCTGTGAGTCAACGACAGCAGCACCAATTCCAGCTAGGAAACCATACGACCCTGGTGGAGTCTCAGTGTAGAATGCTCCACCATTCCCTCCATAAGGACCATAACATTGAGGATAACCGTTTTCATCTTTCTTGTTTGTGTAAAAGGAGAGGCGGTCAATCATCCATCCAGAATTAACATCAACTTTGACGATCCTTTCATTTTTTTCCAAGTGAAATTCATGGTGTTCGAACTGATCAGAGTCACTTCCCATCATAATCTCTTGGTCACCGTTATGATTATAAAAAATCTTCAGCCCTCCCAGAACAGGCCTCCCATCCCAGCGTCGAATCCAAAGTTTCATTCCCTTTATGAAGACGTCACTGCCAAGATCTTCAGCAGCCTCTTTGTTGTTGTGATGAGATGTTTCAGGATGTACGTTGCCACCATTAGCAAAGGAACGCCCCCAACTGACAGCAGGTTTGGCAAACGCCCGAGTGGTCGCCCACATTTCATCGGCTGAATCTTTCTCGGGGGAATCAGTTTTCAGCTTCCGAGCCTTTGAAATGATTCCTCTGCTGGAGTCTGCAATAAGTTTGTGTTCTGAGATTTCTTCCAGATAAGACTCTGATAAAGTTGGGAGTCGTACTAAAGATAACAATTCTGGAAAATGTGTTTTTCGGTTGTCGATATCATGCTCAACGTACTTCAAAACGGCTTCCAACACGACCTTTTCTCTTTCTTCTTTGGACGGAATCAGGCTCTCGATAACCACGCAAATACCTTCATCAGCAAGAATCTCTTTCAGGAAACCAATTGGAAGCGACAAAAACTCTTCCATCTGAGTGACTTCAGTAAAATGCAGCAAAAAGTGCTTTTTAGCCTCCTTCATTAGCTCTTCCAGCGCAAACAAATCAGCAAGCTGCCAGATGCTAGAACAAGTTTTATCACTGATTGCACCTTTCAGAAAATCTCCGCACGATTTCTTGACAAACTCCACCTGCAAATAATTGGATGCCTCGAGCAAAGTTTGCACATTGTCTTTGCTGATGTCAATTTTGCCCGAATATGCGAATTCGATCAAATCGCTGACAGCATTCTCGTCAAAGCCAAGAACTTCTATCTCTTTTTTTTCTCCATCGTCCCAGCTTTTCCCGAACAAGGCTTCAAAGTAAGGACTAAAAGAGGCCAGAACAACACGATGAGCTGAAAGCCGTCGGTCTTCACTGATCTTCAAAGTGACATCAGAATATCTGCCATCTTTGTACATGGTCAAAAGCCCCTTCAGAAGATTACAGCCATGGCTTGGATCGTTTGCATATAAAGTTTCCAACTCCGTCGAAAAATACCTTTCCAGAGAAGGTAAACCTCTTTTCATTGCGGCCATTTTAAACGTTTAGACGTTCGGTGTCGCTAACGTGGTCTGCAAAGTCTTCAGATTTTAGTCGAAAGCGGAAGTCGGGGTGACTAGTTACCAGATCTCACACTCAGGTGGAATACATTCCGCTCGGGTGGAATACATGGTCAAAAGTCCCTTCAGCAGTTTGGAACCATGGCTTGAATCATTTGCATTAAATTTTCCACATTAATATTCGTCGAAAGAGAGCTGACAAAAGATGAAGTTCAAGATTCCCTTGGCAGTGGCCGTGTAGACGATTTTGATACCGAGAGAAATCCTAATATTTCGGTTTAATCACGTTTGTTTCAACCGATCAAAAGCAATGTATTTTACCTTCATTTTCGAAGCTGAGCATGGCTTTGTTTCTTTATTAATACATCTGAAGAGCACCAAAATACCTCAGTTCGATTGGTAGTCGTGGTTATCGCCACTATCAGTCCGGGGCCGGAATGAATCTGCCACAATCAAAACCAGAAAATTTCATATAGCTGCCAGAGCCGATGTAGCTATGAGAACTGAATGTCATTATTTTTGTTTAGCTGCTCTGTAAAAATCATTATGCAATTCAGAACCGTCAAATTTTTGTTTCGACGCCTGATTCCCGATTCAAACTTCAACGTAGCCGAGCACTGAGAAGACAAGCTCGTAAACCCGTGTTACTTAAATATACAGCATACCGGGTGAAAATGTTTACATGTGCACAAACTATTCTGATTACTGAGAGAAATTTCGCTACTCGCATGGAACATCAAGTAAAGCTTAGTTTGAAAATATGTGCCGAAACTGAAAAATGCTGAAAATGAATTTGTTTCCCGTGTTTGATTTAGTATCAGACTCTAAAACAAGACTAATTCCATATCAAGTTTCGATAACACTTTTTTTTTCAGATTGCTGACTTATAACGTCTAAAACTGACAGTCGTGGGATGTCTCGAGCCATTTGCTGCTATATGTTTTAATTTATTTCTCCACATCATTAAGTCAACGTGTATTCATAGTAATACTGAGAAAAGGGAAAAAGAAAACAGCAAAGCCAAATGAGTAACTAGTTGAGTCGAGCCATGATGAAAAGACAATAATTCATCGCATATATCTCTTGGTAATCTAGCGTTTATGAGAATATTCTTAATGCCAGAAGAGAACAAGTTATTTGTGTTCACAGAGAGCATTATTGAGTACAAAACAAAAGGAGCCATAATTAGATCCAGAGCGAGATGGTATAATGAAGGTGAGAAAAATAACAAATATTTCTTGGGCCTAGAAAATCACCACTGCAATAAAAAGACAATCATGCAAATCAAGGCAAAGGATGGAGCAAATCTTAGTAATGACTCAGATATTCTATTTTTTACTCTGGTAAAAGCTTATCTGCCTGTTTGCAGCGATTCACGCTGATTCTAGCTTTATCTCATTAAAAACATCGTTTTTGCTCTTTTGTCGCTGTTTATGGCTTTTTTTTTGCATCGGGAAAATGTTTTTTGCCTGTTGCAGCGAATTACGTTGATTGTAGCTATATCTTACTCAAATAAACGTTTATACTTTGTTCTCGCTAAATTACCCTGTTTTCAGCTCCATAGCACCAGAAACATGTCCTCGTTTGTTTGCAACTAAATTAGGCCATTTTAAGCCTTATCGCGCGTAAAACATTGTTGCACTTGTTTGCCGCTGAATTGAGCTGTTTTTAACTTTATCACACCGGGAAAAGTTTTCTGCCTGTTTGCAGCTAGTCACGCTGATTGTCGCTATATCTCAGTCAAAACAACGGTTTTTCTCTTTTCTTGCTAAATTACGCTTTTGTCAGCGTTATCGCACCGAAAAGGTTTTTTTCCCTGGTTTGCTCTGAATCAAGCAGTTTTTAGCTTTATCTCATCAAGAGCTTGGAGCCTCATCTCATGGAACACAGCGTCTTTGCCTTTTTGTAGCCAAAGTTTCGTGATTCTAGCTATATCTATCTCACTCACTTTATCTCACTCGCGTTTTGAGTGAGATAAAGTTGAAGCTAGCATGATTAGCCGCAAACGGGCAGATAAGCTTTTCTCAGTCTAAAAAAGCTCAAAACAGCGTAGTTTAGTCACAAAAAAGCAAAATCGTTGTTAACATTGCGATAAATGTAAAAACAGCGTGATTGGCTAGCAAGATACCACAACCTCTTTTCAGTGCACTTAAGCTAAAACAACGTAACTCAAGAGCAAAGAAGGAAAAAAACACGTTTTCAGTTCTAGAAAGCTAAAAATCGCTTGATTTAGCTGCGAAAAAGGAAAAACCGCTGTTTGGCTAACATTAGGGTGATTAGCTGAAAACAGGCAGAAAACCTTTTTTGGCTGTGATAAAGCTAAAAACAGCTCAATTCAGCGTCAAACAAGTGGAAAAATGTTTTTGGTGAGATAAATATGAAAAAGACGTAATTTAGTCGCATGGGGGCCTAAGACTCAGTCTTTAGTAGGATCGAACTGTAAACAGCGTTAATTTAGCGACAAACAAACAAAAACAAATTTTCGGTGTCACAAAGCTAAAAACAGCGTAGCTTAGCAATAAAAAAAGAAAAACGCTGCTTTTCATGAGATCAAGCCCAGAACAGCCCAATTAGCTGCAAACAAACAAATACATGTTTTCGGTGCCAAAAAGCTGACAAAAGCAAAACTTGGCCACAAAAGTCACCCAAACGTTGTATTTAGTGAGATACAGCTAAAATCAGCGTGATTCATTCACGATGGCTCCTCTTAATCACATGCACAAGGTCGCTGTTCCTACTTCACCATTTTAAAGATGGCAGCAGGTAGCTCGACCATTATCCTGCCTCTCTCGCCAAATTAGCCATTTGACCAGATTACTTCGACTAACACGACCGAATTGGCCGCCTCGGTCAACACAGTCGACAGAACTGTCTCGTCCAACACGTTTGACGGAACTGCTAAAACACTTCTAAAGCTAGTAGAGCTCATTACCAGAATCACGGACATTTTGCGCCAGTGTCACAGCAGATTTGGACCCCCCGCGGATTTGGACGCCCCCGTCCATATATACGCTAGCGGATATGGATCCCCCTTCGCAGATTTGGACCCCCTCTACCAAACTTTCCTTTGGAGCATCGTTTGTATCGTATTTGGTAACCAATTCTATTTGCAAGCTTTCTGTCGATGTTCTTTTCAACCACAACACAACATTCCTCAATAAAGGTACAGAAAAACAGCCATTTCGTTCCAATTCTGCCGCATTTATTAAAGCGAGTGGTACAGTATACGCTAGAATTAGATGCGAACAAATTATTGCATTCGAACTATTGAAATTGTTATAATAGATCTTTGCTTCTTCTGATTCGAATCAACATTGATACGAAACGTTATGACAATAGTGGAGACTATTGCGTCCAGTCACAAAAATAACTCAGTCTGATGTTCTAAAATAATAACCCTCTTATTGAATCTAGCAGTGCTCGACCATCGCGGAAAAGGTTCAAAAACGACTTTTTTCCAAGCATTAAACTAAATTCTTGACCATTTCCCTCGGTCGAAAGAAACATTTACAGCTGCCAGTTCGTATGCATTAACGATACGAATGTTTTGAATTAAAAACATACTTTAGTACGCACTGGAACGTAAAGTATAATCTATTTTTACTAGAACGATAAGGATGATGTTTTCACTCAGTTTTGTTGCGCCGGGAGGTCCATATGTCTACGTCCTAACAAAAGTGAGGACTATTACATCGAACTCAATCTTACTTTCTAATTACTTTCTAATTTTAACGGAAAGACGAAAAACTGCTTTCGAAGCGGAAAAGCGGCAAAGTAAGTACTTAATGCCTGTTTTAAGGGTGCTATTCCAAGGCTTGTCTTTAGCCGACCGTTTCACCTCTTATTTATTTTCTCATAGGAGATAGAGTACCTCATCAAGTGGAAAGGATGGCCCATGTCATCATGTACCTGGGAGCCTGCCCTCCATCTATCTGTTACCACAACAACATAATTTTTCAGTTCATGCCAAAATGTAAAGAAAGCTTAAAAAAGTTGAAGTTAATATAGTTCCTTTAGAACAAGACATGCTTTTTAGTTGACCTCCAGTATTTAAAACACCGTGTTTTTTTATTATAAGAATAATAAACATAAGCTGAACAATTTAGTTAATTTGTTAAGATCGTTTTAAACGAATTTTTTTTGTCCTAATAAATCTGTTTTCTGAATTTCTTCTAGACTTTATAAAAAGCCTCCACAGCCCTCAGAAAGTGAAATTGCCTCAGCATTTAATGGCTTTTATCAGGCAGTCAAGTCACCTTTAAAATCAAATGCTGTCAAAGTGCAGCACACTTGCCAAGTTAACATAGAGCGTGATGTCTATCGATATTTTTTTAATTACAAAGGAATATCGTCAAGGGATTCTAAATACACCATGCTCAGCTTAGAGGATTTAAACAAGCTGTCTCCACCCTATTATTGGTGGTATGTATCTAGACCCTCATGGCCAGGGAAAGGCCTATGATTTTCCTTTAAAGATGAAAGCTTACCTTGAAAATGCTAACACGTCAACATTTTCATTCTCGACAGGATTATTTAACCGAACAAAGCATTTGTGAAAAAGACTTGTTACAGAAGTGTGTTTCAAAGCTGGACTCCAAAGAATATACGACAGTGGGTGGGTAGTGCGTTGTGTTTTTGATCTGAAGCAAAAGTGTCTATTAAGATGTAGGAGGGATCTTCTCGTGAGGGAGAGGAGGAGGGGAGGTGGGAGGGATGGGTGTCCAGCGCTAGCAACCTTCTGACGTTTGTAGATAGAGGCTAAGTGCACTCCAGTCACTCCAGGATCCTCCCCCCCTCCCCCCTTGCGGCTGTGCACTAGCTTAAAAGATGTTCTTGGGACCTAGAGCTTTTGCTTTCTTGTGCATTGCAGTCGATGTAAGACAGAAATCCATGGGAGACCGAGTTTGGTTCGG